GTTTGGTTTGTTTTTGTAATAAGTTGTGTTTGTGTTTTATAAGTAAGGTATGGAAAAAGTGTGTGTGTCTAGTTAATGCCTTAGTTATGTATGTCAGGGTGGATTTTGTTGTCAGTAGTCAGTATGGGCAATTGTTTTGTCAAGTTCTTAATAAAATTAGGTATTAGATGATGATTTCCTGCACATTAAAAGGAATTTTAAGCTAGATCTAAGTTTTACTAACTTTACCAATGTAATTTCAAATTTGTTAATTGTTTTTCTGGAGTCTTTGTACTTAGTTCTTATTTTTGCATAACTTATGTTTGGTGTCATGCTTTCGGCGTGCCTTCCGTTGGTATTTAATGTTGTATTTGGCGACCTTTCCATTTTATAATTGTCTGTTTGGCTGGCTTGAGGTCCGGGGTTTTTTTATCCAAGACAAAATGAAAACACAATTTGTTTTAATTTAACCAATATATTTCGGCTGCACTTCGGCAACCGTCTTCAGGGCACTAACACAAAAACAATTAACATTAAGATACATTAAATAAAATTAAAACAATTACTTAAACAATTTAAAAAAAAAAAAAATTTAAAAAAAAATGTTTTCCTAACATAGTTATTGCATAAGATGCGCTCTGTGAAAAAATTATTTTATTCTTAAATTTTTCTATAAAATTTATCGTTAGTATCTAGGGTAATGTATAATTTAAATAAAGCATGCATTTCATGGATAAAGCAGAAGTACTTTGCGTCGATCGTAAGTTCAGAACATTTTCGCTCAATGTACTTCGTAAACGAAGCGACGCAAAGCAGCATCGACCAGCTTTGCTGAAGGCAGGCTGGCGACTAGCTTCGATGCTCGTGTCAGCATCAGCAAGCCGCGACTTCGGCATTTGCTCGTCTGAACGAACAGCCGTCGGCAGGCATATCGTGTAAAGTGGCAAAGGCCAGCTGAAGGGACAGGCTAGAAATGTATGGGCGTTACTCATTTTATTGTTTATATTGCCTTTGGTATAGCCATCGCTTTCGAGAAGTTCGGAGAAAGTCTCCTGCATAGCTGTAGGCTTATGTGCAGGAGGGACAACTGGCTCTTAATTCGTTGGTGCGACTGCTTGATCCATTTCATTGTCTGCTGTCGCAAGTAGGGAAAAACAATTGGTGGAGCCTAACTTATCATTTGTTTTTTGGTTTCCCCTGGGCTGCAGAGTTTGACATTGCTTTGGTTTTTTGCAATGAGTATCACTACACTATCATTAATGGCAAACTCTTAAGGCCATCAAAAGGCATTTCACAATGAAAGCTCTCCATAATAGCCCAATTCCTTTATCAACAGAACCTCCTCAAGCTTATAAGGCCATCAAATGGCTTTTCACGACGACTTGGAAACGTCTCAATAGTATTGATCTCTTCGTTGCTCAGCCGGTGACGCTAATTTGCTTCAGAAGAGATTAACGGCACGAATCAGTTTTACTGCCGTTTTTCTGTATATTTGGGAATTTCTACTCTCGGATAACATGTCCAACAAATGGTTTGCTGCTTCGTCTCTCTAGATGCAGTTGCTTAGTATTATAGCACTAACCATAATATGCATAGATATGTCAAACAGCAGAATAATCGAAACACGATAAATCGCAACGAGTGAGCCCCATGGGTGCCTGCGACCATTTTAGTGTGACCAGATAGAGTAAGACTGATGAGAGTGGCAGCCGAACGCCGGCCTCGAATGCCGAACCAGTATGAAGCCGCATCTCGCTCAGCGCACGACGTCGCTGCGGCTGATGCCTTTTCATAAAATATGTATGTAAGTTTTTAATTCCTTACATCCCAAAAACATACATGTGTGTGTATGCATGTGCAGAGTGTGCCTCGCTCTCACTTATTGATTTGCGCACTTGTGTGCATCTTCTTCTCCCTGCATAGCTTCTCAAAAACCCCGAGGTCTACAAGCACAAGTAGATAGCGGCGTTTGTCGCGAGCCAGAGATTTTTTCTTCAATTGTCTGCCCTTTGTGCCTGTGGCACACACATTCAAATGCTCTATCATGTATTTCTTCGTCCAGTCAGGCATAATGAGAAGAATCTGATTTATTTTTGTTTAAAAAAACGTAAATGAAATATTTATATATTATATTTTACTTTTTTTGTTTACTGTGGGGACCTATTTTGCTTAAAAAAAACTAAGTCATATTTCTGCAAGGGTAATTCATTATCGGCTGTCGAAGAATTCTAAGAAAAGACCAAAAATTTAAATGTTCAATTTTTACGACTTGCTACTTGAGCACACGCACACTCTTTTGAGGGAGCAGTCGTGTGATATTATAAAAGGGTTTGGCCTGTTCATGTGTAAAATTGTTATTTTTCATGCTTGTAGTAAGGGTAAGGGTACCTGAACGTTGGCATAAGTGCATGATAACTTTTTGGGCCTGCCAAGCACACACACTTACACATTTTTCTATATGGATGCAAGCATTTATGCGTTTGTGTGAGTGTTGGTTGCCTGCCTGTTCGATGCAAATTCGACAAGATTTGAAGTTTTTGGCATTTCTGAATTTCGAGTTAAAACACACACAGTTACACACAGGCACTCACACACATAAATGTGTGCGAATGAGCCGATCAAGGGTTTGTCGTTAGACAGAGATATTTTCATCAATGACTGCGTAAATTTAGGTGACTGGCACTGTCTTTGTTTTTTTGGTATATCTGCGGTGGGCTTGCGGCCGCGTAAGGCACAAATGTGTGAACCGTCAATAAAAACAAATGAACCGCACTTGTCCCTCGTTTGCACTTTGATATCCAAAAATTCAAGTGATCATTTTATGAATTTATTGACATTGTAAAAATTTCGGGTTAAAGGGTTTTATGACAGGTAAAAACGGTCAGAATGTCTGGCCCGCGTCAGCATCCATATCAAAGTGCAAACGAGCGAGTCACCTGTTTTCATTGACACATTTGTGCCTTTTGCGAACCGTGCCGGTCGCCCAAAATTAATTTTTGGTCTTTTCTTAGAATTCTTCGACAAGTCGACGATGAACTAACTTCCCTTGCAGAAATATGACTTATTTTTTTTTTACTTTAAGCAAAATAGGTCCCCACAGTAAACAAGAAAATTAGAATTTTTTGAGAAGCTATGCAGGGAGAAAAAGATGCACACAAGTGTGCAAAGCAATGAGTGAGAGCGTGGCATACTCTGCACATGCATACACAATTATGTTTTTGGGCTGTAAGGATTTATAACTAACATACATATATTAAGAAAAAGCATCAACAGCAGCGACGTCGTGCGCTGAGCGAGATTCGGCTTCATACTGAACGTTCGAAATTTGAGGCCGGCTGAGGTTCGGCTGAAACTCTCATCAGTCTTACTCTATCTGGTCACACTAAAATGGTCGCAGTATCTCACTCGTTGTGATTTATCGTGTTTCGGCTCGGCTTGGTGGTCCTATCTGCAGCGCTTTGGAGGAAGAGGCTCCACAGTACTGCCGCTGCTGACAGATATTTCAGGGTCGAAAATAATCGTTCATTTTCGACGTACTCGGTAATATCTGTAAAATATAATACGCATTTTAAGTAAATAATTGAACACTTTGAATACAACTTACTTTGGTAATCAACCGCGACTGCAGCATGGCTTTTAAAAATCTTTCTTGTATTTCCGTGAGGGGGTTACTTGGACCGGATATCCCCCAGTGAACCCGGATTGCTTCATCTGATCTGACATATTATTTATGTGGTAATATTTCCGCGCACCTCGCAAATCACTAATATTGTCTTGTCTTATATTAAATCCCATCGTTTCAGTGTCGACCCTTCACGTCAGACGTCTTGAAGTGTGCCTTCTAAAAAAACACATTAATGTTCATTAAATAGTTTGATAGTATATCTTTATTGTCTTCAATACTTACTTGCGCGCTCGTCTGACATTCTAAATAAACTTTTCCATTTGTTTTGACGTTTTATTCCATTTGCGTAGTGAATGGAATTTATTTTATGGATGTACTAAAAATATTGTAGGATAGGAACACCTCTCAGAGACGTTGAAACAAATGAGAAAATAGTGGTACGGTCCAATGTCCCCAAATCTTACATTTTATTGCGATTTTTTTTAAATAGTTGAAAAATGTGGCCAGTACTCTTTCCCATAAGAATCACATATTTTTTACATATTTCAAAAATGTGACATTTTCGATAAATTTATGTATTCGCCCCGAACAGTTCGTGTTTTTTGCGCTGATTTCGTATCGATGTTATGAAAAATATGAAAGTATCATTCCCACAATCAGCGAATATAGCAACGACGGTAAGCTGTAACTTTAAATTATAATAGTACAATTTTATTGATGACACAGTTTTAACATTTAAAGATGGCATAATATCGGAAGGAATATATTAAATGGAGCCCCTACTTAGAGGCCGTATTATTTGACCTGTGACTTTGTGGCGCTGAGATCAACACAAAAAACGTGCAAATTTATCAGCAAATAGGCGCTAAACTTATTGAAGCTGGTTTCAAAAGCTTATGTTATGTAAGAAGTGAGCTCAAAAATTGATAATATAACGCGGTAGTACAAGTAAGGACGCTTCGATTTATTTATATTATATATTATATAAGTTTTTCTTTAATTTTATAAATTTCGAATTATTTATTAGGAGCGAATTGGAAGCTGTAGGCGCATCAGAAGGGGTGCCATCAGGATGGACCCATAATCTGAAATAATCTGCCCACTGTACGGTAGTCTGTTGACAAGCCAAGCGTGTGTAGTGCAATGGCAATGCGCTTTTAAAGAGGAATAGCTTTCCGGAAACTGTTATGTTGTTTCGCAAAGTTTTGCGGACGGGAGCTCTCTTTAAAAAAGGATGCAAAGTTTTGAGGCACATCCTTCTCCCAAAATCTACCTCGATCAGCTGTTTATCTAAAGAAGCGGTACTTTTGCCACTCACATGTTACCGAAAACTGGTGGATCACCAATATGTGAAACTTAAAAATGTGACATTTCTTAAGCCCAGTGGAGAAATGCTATGTTAAATGTTGCTCAGTGTGAATTGACTATTTGAATATCGATATAACGAGACTGTCATCGATAGCCTTACAAACCTAATACAGTTCTTTGTTGTATTATTTTTTTAGATACAGTTCAGTAGTCAGGATGAGTGTATTTCAGTGGAAGAGTGTGGAACTTTTCGATTTAATTAAATTGCCTTCAATAAAATTAAATGATATCACTGCTGAAATTACAGCGCACTGTTGCAACCGGGTCAAAGCTGTAAATGGTACCACCAACCCCACTCTAGTACTATGTGACATAAATGGATACGTGCATGTTTTATTGGAAAATAATATAAAGGCTAAGCGGATAAGTTTTTTATGCTGTTACAACCGTCCACCGATTAAATTGTGCGCTCTTACAACCAACAATTTACTTGCAGTACTAACACAAACGGATACGTTTTCTTTATGCATTTCTATATATGACCTAAACTTAATCAAAAGGGAGGTACCTCCATGTATCACAACCGCAACCTTGCCAGCCACAAGTGAGGCAACATTTATCCAGGTAGAGGTCATAGGGCCCGATAAGTTATTTGCTTTAGGCATTGGGTTTGATAAAGGTGACGTACTGCTACATGTTGGTAACATCAACCGTGATCTGTCTTTGAATATTCGTCGTCATGCTATTGCTTCAAGTTCAATAAATGGAATACAATTTGGAAGTTGTAATCAGCAATCAGATACAAAAACTTACGACGTGTTTGTAGTATCTCTTAATGGAGTATATTGCATTGCATTAAATGATAAAGGAGAAATCGATGCTAAAATTGTCCTTGATAACAATAAAAACACGGCTAACCAATGTTGTACAATATCTCAACCAACTATTTGTACTTCATTTCTTGTTGTTGGCCGATATGATGCCATCTACTGTTTTAATCGTAATTGCAGGGGTTCCTGTTATGCTATTGAAGGGCAGAAGCAATATCTTTCGTTGGTAGACAATCATCTTATCGTCGTAGTTAAAACTCATTTTGGTTCTATGCTAATAGTTATTGATATTGATAACAAATTAATTGTTTTACGCAAAAAAATTTCAAGTTTGCTTTGCATTATCACTGGTATTAACTTGTACTATGTTCTAAGTAAGGACGAAAGTTCAAAAAATGTATGTACATACAACATTGACATGTTGAAAGAGCACAATACAAATATTAAAATAAGAACCCTTATTACAAATTGTATGCACGATATTGCCCTCATGTTGTTAAAAAGAGAAGGAAGTGAATATCAAAACGCAGCATATGTTCGTTTGAAATACGGTAATAATTTATTACTAAAAGGCAGCTTTACAAGGGCAGTAGCCGAATACGCTCAAACCATTGGCGTTATAAAGCCCTACCACATTATTTCGAAACTATTAAGTTCAAGACATAACGATAATTTAATACAATACATAAATAAATTATTAAAAAGTGAATCCGCTACAATTGATCATCAGAAATTGCTTCAAAGTTGCTTTGATCGCGAAAAACTTCTTATTAGGATTCAACAGTTATGGAATTTAAAAAATGATGCTACCCGTATATGTGACTTTAAACAGATATCCGCGAAAAGAGGAAACATCTCAAGCTTGATTGATGCATTGAGTCATTTACAAATTGATGATCTTCAAAAAATCGACGAAGTTGAAATTTTGGATTTTTTTCTGGAGTATGGACGCGAACTTCTATCGGTACATTACACAGTTTTTTTAAAAACCGTAAAATCATTGATTAGAAACCAGAAAATTAAAAATATACTTCGTTTCTTAACTATTTTTACTTGTAATGAGGAATTTTGTGCAAACTTATTATCCGACTTCATAGAAAATTGTTCCACCAGTGATGAAAAGTTACACTATCATTTACTCATGTTATATCTCAGTCTTTGGCGTGATAATAAAATATCATCAAAGTATATTATTGACTTTGTAGAAAGAGTACCATTAAGACTTGAGAATACTTTGATATTATTAAAAGCTTATTCTTTTTCTATTGAAATTGGAAACCTGGAAAATATTGAAGAATTAGAATTAATTGCGGACGAATATAAACATTTTTTTAAAAACCATATTAAAAAAAATGCAAATCTTGCCTCATTATTGACAACCGGCCCGCATTCAGTGCTCATGATATTGCAAAAAATATGTAGTAGTCGAGACTTAAAAATAAAAGATATAAAATCACTTTTGTCAGAAAAATTATTAAAAAATGGCATACACGCCAGATCTGAAATCCAGTCAATTGAAGATCTTAACTATGATATTGCAATCAAGAGTTCGCTGGTATTCAATTATAAGTTACATCCAATAGAATTTCGCAACAGGTGTTGTGACATCTGCAATCAATCATTGAAGATGCCCTCAGTTTATTTCCTTTGTCAGCATTCATTCCACAAAGACTGCTTACGGTATAATTATCATACGAAAAAGGAGGATGGCGCCGGTTGTGTGTTATGTAACGAAAATATAACATTCTTTGTGTCAGAATACGGAAAAATTGATTTAAGCTCAAAGTCTTGCGACACAATAAAGAGAATTTCAAATGTTTTTGCTTCTGGAATGGATAAGTTATCAATGTCAGAAGAGTGTGGATATATCCTATGGAATACCTAAACGGAATACTTTAGAGCATATAAAAATCCGTTTGATGAAAATTGTGATTCTAACTTCAACTGTTTTCCTAATTTTAATTTGTTATATTAAAGGCTTCTAAAAAAGATGTATATGATACATTATATATAACGGAAATGTCTTTAATTTTTTTCTAGCTGAGTCAAGTACAAAAATTAACTTCAGCATGTAACAAGTAAGAGTCGGGAGCTCCCGACTAGCGGATAACCTGAACCATCTTCTTCCAACACCAAATGCAGCTAGCGCTACGCGCTCGTTTGCTTTAGTAATAAAAATAAACTTAAACAAAAATGTTTCCTTGGCAGAGTTCGAACTCGGAACTAACCGCACTACTTGCCGCCGCCTCTAATCAACAGCCCCACCAGCCAAAAAAAAAAAAAAACAAATATCCCTCCATAGGTCTCGAACTCGCAGCAGACCGCACTACCTGCCGCCGCCTCTAACCAACAGCCACACCAATTATTGAGACTTGAGACAATACAATCGCATTTGCAATGCTGTTGATAGAATTCAAAAAACACGTGGGCAGCGAAACACATTTTCTTCTGTGTTTATTACCCGAACTTGATGTAATTTTCATCAGTAGATCTTATTGTACTATAAAATATTCGTGTAATCTCACAATTGCATTTAAATTGTGGCTTATATTGGCGGGCAGCATATGTAAATTGGTTTCTTTTCTCGATTTATAACTTTTAGGTGGTAGCGGGGAGGTGGTGATGGGTATAAAATGATAGATACTGATATATATATACTATTCTAGAAGCTACATATCAAATTTTGTGACTCTAGCTCTTATTGTTTACCCAATTTGCTCAATAAACAGTATTTCGAAATCGATTTTTATCGATTACTTGGAAACGGGGCAAGTTATCGAATATCGGAAACAAACTGCGCGGGCACTAGGAGGACCTACAGCTAAAATTTCAAGTCTCTAGCTCTTATGTGTTCTGAGATCCTTGCGTTCATACATACGGACAGACGGACGGACGGACGGACGGGCATACAGACGGACATGGCTAGATCGACTCGGCTATTGATGCTCATCAAGAATATATATACTTTATGGGGTCGGAGATGCTTCCTTCTGCCTGTTACATACATTTGCACAAATACATTATACCCTTTTTTAATGGGTTCAGGGTATAAAATAAAAATTCCACTTTTGCACTATTTCTACATTTTTACAGAGGGTATTATCAAGACAATACTAAAATGACTAACGCCAATATTCAGATGGCTTTGCGTTTTATAAATGTCACGCCAGCCAAAGACTTAGCTCTCCAGAAGCACTAAACGTACAACAACATACTTTAACAGGTTTGACCATTAACCGCATTGGCGAGCTTAATTGACGGTAGGATGTTGCTATAACTCAAGGTTGTTGTTTTGTCTAGTGCTTGCTGATTGAAGTTTGCAAACACTACTGATCGCTGTCAAACATATATGCTGGCACGAGGAAAGAAGTCAGTCGCCAGCCTGTCTTCAGTAAAGCTGGTCTATGATGATCTGCATCGTACTTACTAGTATTTTTGCCTAATTCATGATATGAATGTTTTATATCAAATATATATTATCTAAGATACAAATGATAAATTTGAAAGGCGAATTAAAAAATAAATTAATTCCATTTGACATATTTGCAGTAACTTACTTAATGAAATAGCACACGTAAACTAGTTATACCCTAAACCCATTTAAAAAGGGTAAAAAGGGTATAATGTTTTTGTGCAAATGTATGTAACAGGCAGAAGGGAGCATCTCCGACCCCATAAAGAATACATATTCTTGATTAGCATCAACAGCCGAGTCGATTTAGCCATGTCCGTCTGTCTGTTCGTATGTATGAACGCAAGGATCTTTCATTTTATAGTTATCGCCCCCGCTACCACCTAAAAGGTATAAATCATGTTAGTAAACCAACTTGTATTGCCTACCTAATTAAGCCACAATTTAAATGCAATTGTCATTTTGAGAATACACAAATATTTTATAGTACAATTAGATCTACTACTGAAAATTTCATTAAGATCGGTTAAGAAACACGAAAGAGAATGTGTTTTGGCCTGCAAACACGTGCAGCAGCAAGCGCAAATTCCAAGAATTTCCGTATACTTGTACACACACACATACATGCGCGTCTGCTTTGAATACTATCAACAGCATTGCAATTGCGATTGTATTGTTTTCTGTGCTGCTATTTTAATTTGTTTTTTTTTCTGACAAAGACTTATTTATTGGTGTGGCTATTAAGTAGAGGCGGCGGACAGTAGCGCGGTCAGTTACGAGTTCGAATCCTGCCGAGGTACCAATTTTATTTTTTTTTTGGCTTTTGTCACTGTTGCGTAGATGCGGCATCAAGTAATGTGTTCAAACCCTGCCAAGGGAACTCTTTTTTAATTTATCTTTATTACTACTAAAGCAAACGAGCGCGTAGCGCGACCTGCATTTGGTGTTGGAATAAGAGGGTTCAGGCAAAGACAATATAAACACTAAGATAAGTAACGCCCATACATTTGCATGCGACGCAAAATTTTTAGCCTGGCGTTTCATCTGGTTTTTGAGGTTTATTGAGGTCGACATGCCTGCCGACGGCTGTAAGTTCAGACGAACGAATGCCGAAGGCGCTGACACGAGCAGCGAAGTTAGTCGCCAGCCTCCCTTCAGCAAAGCTGGTCGATGGTGCTTTGCGTCGCTTCGTTTACGAAGTACATTGAGCGAAAATGTTCTGAGCTTACGATCGACGCAAAGTACTTCTGCTTTATCCATGAAATGCATGCTTTATTTAAATAATACATTATCCTAGATACTAACAATAACTTGTACTGGAAAATTAAAAAATAAAATAATTTTTTTACCAAGCGCATCTTGTGCAATAACTATGTTATGAAAACAGCACACATAGATAGATTTCATTTTTTTTTTGGACACTATGCAAGCACCTATGTTTGTATGTGTGAATTATGCATGCATAACTACATCAAAATATGTATATATGTGTTACCTATCCCAAATTTGTATTTACATATGAATGCATGTTAGGTACTGAGGTCGGTTCTGTAGAAAACCTGTATTTTTAAGTCGATGCAAATATTAATATAATTTTTTGATTCTATATATTCTATAACTAAACGATTAATTGTTTATTATAGAAATTGATCAAAATGAATCTTTAGTAACAACAAATTTGCACTCTTATTTCATTATTTTTATTTCGTAAGAATAATAATAATTTAATTAACAAGTTAATTTAAAGAAATTATATAAATATTTGCATCGACTCTAAAAAATAGATTTTCTACGGTGCCAACCTCATTACACAACATGCATTCATACATATGTGAATACAAATTTGGGATAGTTCATGCGTGATCAGCGCTAGAAACGCAGAATTTGTTGAAGATCTATCTAGATAAAAAGTTTTTTTTTATAGTTTTCCGATATGGATAAGATATGGCTTATATATAATGAGCATTTGAGAATGTGTGTGTGTGTGTGCATGTATATACAAATTCTTGCAATTTTCCCTAGCTGACGCAAGCACGAGGTCAGCCAAAACATGTTTTCTTTGTGTTTCTTAACCGATCTTAATGAAATATTCAGTAGAGCTTATTGAGCTATAGAATATTCGTATATTCTTAAAAATGGACTTTAACCATTTTTTATGGTTTTATGGTATAAAAAAAAATCGATTCCTCAATAGGATTCGAACACGCAACAGACCACACTTCTTGCCACCACCCCTACTCAACAGCCACACCAGCCAAAAAAAATAGTTTCCTCGGTAGGTCTCGAACTCGCAACAGACCGCACCACTTGCCGCCGCTTCTACCCAACAGCCACACCAATTATTGAGTCCAAATAAGAAAAAAAACGAATTAAAATAGCAGCACAGAAAACAATACAATCGCAATTCCAATGCTGTTGATAGAATTCAATAAAGGCGCGCATGAATGTGTGTGTGTGTGCATGTTTACAGTAATTCTTGGAATTTGCGCTAGCTGCCGCAGCACATTGTCTTTTGTGTTTCTTAATCGATTTTGATGAAATTTTTGGCAGTACATCTTATTGTTCTATAAAATATTCGTGTATTCTCAAAATGAAAATTGCATTTAAATTGAGGCTTATATTAATGGGCAGCATAAATTGGTTTATTTACTTGATTTATAGCTATGAGGTAGTAGCGGGGAGATGGTGATAGCTATAAAGTGAAAGATGCTTGATATATACTATATACTATTTTAGAAGCTACATATCATATTTGATGACTCTAGCTCTTATTATTTACCAAAATTGTTCAACAAACAGGATTTTGATAAATATGATGATATGATGATTTTTGTCGATTACTTGGAAATAGGGTAAGTTATCGAATATCGGAAACAAACTTGTTCTGCGCGGGCACTAGGAGGACCTACAGCTAAAATTTCAAGTTTCTAGCTCTTATGTGTTCTGAGATCCTTGCGTTCATACATACGGATAGACGGACGGACGGACAGACAGACAGACGGACATGGCGAAATCGACTCGGCTACTGATGCTGATCAAGAATATATATATTTTATGTGGTCGGAGATGCTTCCTTCTGCCTGTTACATACATTTGCACAAATATATTATACCCTTTTTTCCCATTTTTAATGAGTTCGGGGTATAAAAAGCTATTTGCCTAAATCGATTTTGACTGTGATAGCGTTGTTAATGTGCGTAGATATCTGCCTTTAAATTAGTTAAATATCATCACTAACCATGGAACATATAGACTGGAAAACTAGAGTAAAAGAATGGAACCACGAATATACATATTTGTCCGCAGGTCCAAAGTCGCCTTCGTTTTAGTTCGGGTTCGAGACACGCTCGCATGCTCAGACAGCAAGAGAGTAAGAAATACGGAATCGCTGTCTTTTATCTCGCTCCCACTACGGGAAACTGCTTTGGTTTACACTCATCCTTATGATTTGTGCGATAGAAATGAATCGCTGTTTTTTATCTCGCTTTCTTACTCTTAGTGCTCTCAATGCTCTCTCTTGTGTCCGCACAAGCAACAATGCGCACAAATCATTTTTTTTTTTCAAATGTCGGATGCATTTCTTCCGTTTTTAAGGGACAAGT